CCCGTCCTTCGCATTGAGAGAGTCCGAGTTCAGCGTGTTGTCACAAGTCCCCGACGGCTTTTGCAGAATCCAGTCCATCTCCGCCCACAACCTCCTGTCTCTTATACACATCTAAATGTGTAAAAAAGAAAGGATCAAAGACACCCAACGTTATTCGAGGGCATATCAACCCCCTTCAAAAAAAAAAAAAAAAAAAAAGAGGCCACGTGCCTGACTGAAAAGGCGAGCCCGAGTTTCAACTGCAATTGAAACTTGTGCCCTGTCTAAACTGCTAAAACGCAGTTCGAAATGCAATTGCAAACTGTAACCCTGACTGCGCCGTAGTTTTCTCTTTTTTTAAGCAGTCCAGCTGCTAGGGAGAGGGATACGAGCGCCTCCCCCTCGCAGTCCTCCTGAATGCTCCAGTCTATTGGTGGGGAGCCGCACCTGCTGGAAATGGGGTCCAGCCTCCCTTTTCTTACATCAAAAAGACATCCTGCCAGCATTGATTACCCTGATTGCCAGGGGATTGACTGAACAGGTGGACATTACTTGTGCAACCTAAGCATCCTGCCAGCATTGATTGCCCTGATTTCCAGGGGATTAACTGAGGAGGTGGTGTGCAGCTCGAGAGCAACATGATAAATTGAGAAGAGCCTGAGACCATTTGACAAGCCTCACCGGGGGGCACCAGGGAGGCTCGGTGAGGCTTGTCGCCTGCTTGTCGTGATCTTATCGTAATCTCGTCTTATTGCAGCCTGGTCAAGCAAGTATTTTTGTCAGCGACAGGGGATGGGGAGGGAACGGGTCTGGGAAATCAGATGAGGGTCTCATCGGGAAGGCCGGATCAATGTGGGTCCAATCATTGAAAATGAGTGTTACACGCTGCGCCTGAAAACCAGGGCCTACAGGCCCCGTGACTGTTCAGCCCGAAAGCTTGAAAACAGGGGCCTACAGTCCCTGTGTCGTTTCAGACTAAAAACGGCAATAGCCTTTTTAGCCTGAAACGAAGTGCCGTCTCTCGCTCCAGTTCCGACCCTCTCTCATACCTCGTCTCCTGAATGATGACCTCCTTCCCGTCGATCTGCTCTCGGACCACTGCCGTCACGTCCACCATCGCTGCAG